GTTACCATTAAAGGTTTTTTTTTTTTAAACCAACAGGTGATTGCTTAAACCAACTCGAGCAGACCTCCTAGTATATTGATGACTTGCTGGGGGATTTTGTAGATATCTTGTTTGTTTAGGCACAGGATGTGCTCTGGGGATGTCTCACAAGCCAGACATTTTGTGTAGTTTGGGAAGTGTACCATTAAAGACACAAGGTAATAAGACCAAATCCAAATAAATAAATAGTGTGTGACGTTTCGGTAAAGACGTTACCATCTTCAGACAAAAGTACTGAATGAGAGAATTTTACCACGGCATTTTTTTTTCAGTACTTTTGTCTGAAGATGGTAACAACGCTGTTACCGAAACGTCACACACTATTTATTTATTTGGATTTGGTCTTATTACCTTGTGTTTATAATCTTTAATCCAAATTGTGCCTTATCAATGTACCATTAAAGGTAAGCAGCACTACCAAACGACAGCTGTATCTGAATCATGTCAGGGTCGGAAGTCAAGATGCCTGTTCTCTATATTAGGAGCAACCTCAACTGAAGCTATCAGATTGTACTCCAGATTCTTGGAATCAACGACAAACACAATTGTCCTTTGTAGAGAGCTAGCGGGAGTGACCTCTCATGGAGGTTCTAGTGCATAATAGGGCATTCTTTTTCTCTCCTTTACTTTTAAATCAATTTTTAAACATGAATATAAATTAAGAAAAAAGATATCTCCTGATCGTGCAACTAAAATTTGCTGATGGCTTGCCCATTTGACAAAATAAATATCAACTAATCGTTGATTTTTAATTATTCCAGAATTGGCTAGCTACCCATTCTTGATTAACACTTTCGACCCGAGGGATGCGCGTTCTTGCCGATTTTGCATCAAGCTCGAAAAAACGCGAATTCGCTACCTCGATTTTCAAAATTAAATATAAAATCACCGGCGGCCGACACAAATTCGCGTCCACTGGGATCTTGTCCCATACCTTCTTACCTATCTATCCGTGGGTTGGGGGGATGTCAGCTGACCTAATGTACCTGTCAAACGTCATGTGAGACCGTCGTTCCAGCAGCTCCTATTGCCTGCCTATGCAACTGTGGAATGGCCCGTCCTCAAAGTGTTAATAAAGAAAAGCTAACTACGTATGCATTTTGGAATGGTGCAAGCCATCAGCAACTTGTAGTTGCACGGTCAGTGATGCCTTTTTTATCCACCTGATCCCAGTACAATTGTACTATATTTTTAAATGCAAATATTGATTTGAGAATTGACAATAATGCTACACCCTCAGCTCTGATTAAAGAAATTTTGAATTAAGGATTCATATTGAAGAATAGCTTTTAAAAAAATGTTATCATAAAATACTGAAAAGTCATGGTTCATTTTAAATATGTATAGTCAAACCTGCATTGTGCAATTTTCTGAGTACAGTAGAACTATTTCTCTGTAAAGGACAACACCTAGTTTCAGAGCCACAGGGTCCTTTAGGAAGAAGTCTCCTCTTACAGGAGGGTTGCTAATTAGGTAAATGGTAAATAGGGCGATGAAACTATCCTTTGAAGTGAGGTGTCCTCTCATGGAGTATGTTCTACTGGATTGAGAAGTTGGTTTTCCCCTTTCAAATCTGCCTATCAGTCGAGGTTAGTCTTTAAACTAGAGAAAGGCTAAAATTGAAATGACCCCATCTAGGAAATAGGTTCTGCCTTGATCCCAGAGTCCAGTTTGGGAGTAATGTAGAAAAGATATTGGACCACCAGCAGCAGGGCTAAGTATGGGACTCACTTCTCATGACAGTCCGGATAGAATGGACCAGGTTGAGAAGCTGGGACTTCACGGACTGTTCTTGATGGAAGCCTCGGGGAGCTTGATCCCTGCCCCATCCCACTGGACACAACATATCTTCTCTATGTAGGGTCATTTATTTGTCAGAGTTGGTTTATATATACAGACACAAAATACACCAAGAATATATATAAAACTATTGTTTTGTGATTAAAACTTATATTTATAGATGTAAATTTTTCAGGGAGGAAATTGATTTATGAAAATAAAGGTTGCCTCTCCCATCAAAATAGACATTAAAAGTTGCCCGCCATCTATTGACTGTCTCTATAAACTAGCGGACTCAGGTCGGTGACAGTGTCTCAACACCTGCAACAGAGGTCACCTTTATCTTTATAGATCAATTTCCTCCTGGCAACATTTTTATTTTTAGGTTGAATAAAAAAAAGACAATTAGCAAATTAGAAAAAGAAGGTTCCACTAACTAATGTTCAAAATGCTAAGATGTAAAGTTAGGAGTGTGTACATGTTGTGTGATGGCTGTAAGATGTAAAGTTAGGAGTGTGTACATGTTGTGTGATGGCTGTAAGATGTAAAGTTAGGAGTGTGTACATGTTGTGTGATGGCTGTAAGATGTAAAGTTAGGAGTGTGTACATGTTGTGTGATGGCTGTAAGATGTAAAGTTAGGAGTGTGTACATGTTGTGTGATGGCTGTAAGATGTAAAGTTAGGAGTGTGTTGTGTGATGGCTGTACAACCATTTCACACACAATAAATGATGTGGTTTTCTTTCTGGATAATGTTTCTGGTAAAACTAAGGGGGGGGGGGGGGGGGGGGTGCTTCCATTCTTTATATAGTTATAAACCTCTCTCTCATTGATATATTAGGTTTTTAAAAAACTTTATGTTATAATGATGTCTGTCACTTGATCTCAATAATGATAGCATTGTAAGAAAAATATGATTTTATTACACTGATTTATTTTTACGTTTAATTATCCTTGAAATTTTGTGTTCCATGTGCACAATGGCTAATGTTCTATAACTGGATGAGGACTCTCTTAAGATGGAGGAGTCCCCTTCACTGAGAACAGCTGATACAGTAGAACTATCTCCCTGTGTAAGACACCTAATTGCAGAGCCAAAGTGTCCTTTAGGGAGAAGTGTCCTCTTACCGGAGAGTTGCTAAATAGTAAAAATGGTAATTTTGCGAATGAAAACTGTCCTTTGTAGAGAGGTGTCCACTAGCGGAGTGTCCGTTAAAGGGAGGTTCTACGATAATATCATTCCTTTTTTTATTTCTCTTTTTACTATTTAGCCATTGACTAATTGTGAATAAAATATTTTGAATTGTCTGTCACACTGTATAATGATATATTACACCCTGTGCTATCAATGTACCATGGCTGATATAACCTGTATGTAAAACTTGCCAAGAAGGCGCTGCTGTGTAAGACAAAGGATCCAATCAGGTGTCAGGGAACACCAAGATGGAAGATAACCTCCCCAATCTTGCTAGATAGAGTGTTGTCACCAATAACCTGCTTTCCAGGAACCCAGGTTATCATCTCTATCATCTATGATGGAAGGATGAGGTGGTCAACACACAGGGACAATGGAGTCCCATGGACAGGAGGACCCTCCACCCCTAAGACAAAAATATTCAGTATCAAGGGGTCATCGAACAGTGGACAGTTTTGATGCTTGGTGTTTCTCTGGACAACGGGCTGCCATCCAAAGGGATATATTCCTCATGGCATCAACAGCTGGTAAGCTCTAATTTTGTATCTAGTTAGTATTGAGGTCTCTTTAATAGAGAAAGATATAGCTCTTGTATTCCCATTAGAACAACACCAATGGCAGTTTTGTTCAAAGAGCATGCTTCCGATTGGCCAGAAATCTGGATGTCTGGATTTTTAAGGACTGCCCAGTAATACAACTTCTTGAAAAGTGATGAAAATGTGGTCCCATACCCAGCATGTTAGTGATTTTTTTAGGGTCACATGCTGCTTGATACCCAAGCTGCCCCTCCCAACAACCAAATGTACATAGAGGGATAAACTAAATTCATTGTTTTGAGAAATTTTTAAACGAGAGAGGTGTCCTCTCTGCACACACACCCACACATGATGTTTAGTTTAATACTGATTGGCTCTCATCTCTCTCCTCTCTACTTCCAGAGCTAACGACTAGGAGGCCCCACAGTACATTTCCTCACTTCCAGTGTGGCCACTGATTCCCTTGACAACCATCATGACTGGGTGAAGTAGAATGCGTTTACCTTTGTCATCAAGACAGGGAGCACTACTCAGTGGCAGGCCGACTTAGCTCCAAAAGAAATGGCCGCCTCTGAAATGAGGAACAGACGCCATGTGCAGCCAATCCCAACATGGAGTACAAACACTGCTGTATTGACTCATTTATTGATGAGCTCTACTCATTCCCTGCAGACACCATCAAAAGTCTCAAGCTTTACAAGCTTGATACCCTGATATGATTGAGTGGAGATAAGAAAGAAGAAGAAGATAGATTCCCTAGATAATGGTCACTGATTGGCTGATTGCAGAATGTCTGTTCCAGACAGGTGTTGTAGGGTAGAAATGATTCCATTAAAGAGCATTAGACAAAGTTGGCTTCCCCCATGTTTTATAGATAAATTAATACACATATCGCTTTACACACCCAAGATTGAGAATGCTGTGATAGAGATACATAAAAACATCTAAGACTTTTCATTCGACAAAAAAAACCAAACAAACAACAAAACCCATATTTAATCTAATGTAACAGGTCTTATTACTGAAGACCAATTTAGTATTATCTATTTTTCTATCTATTGGAGATATAAATGAGTTTAGTATTGGGATGACAGAAGTAGGTGGACGAGTGGTTTAAAACTCTCTATTCCCGGCAGCCATGAACTGGGATCGAATCCTGCATTGGACACACTATTTATTTATTTGGTCTTATTGTGATTATTAATTGTTGTAAATATTATAAGCTAGGATGCTTTTTTGAGCAGTACCTAGTAAAGTTATTTTGGAACCAGGTTTAGTATTTGGGATTATTCTCCAAGAACATCCGACCTTCCAAAAACACATCTATACAAATACACCTGGCTGCACACACATCACAGATTACCTCTACTATTAGAATGTAAGGGCAAGCTATCCTTACATTGTAATCTACACTGTCATTGTACAGCCAATTCTGACCTAGGTTTCACCCCAGTCTTCATAATTACGTGGAAGGCTGGTTAAACCGTTTGGTTTACGACCACTACGACCCGGGTTCGATCCCCGCATTGGACACTTTTTTCTGTTAAAAAAAAAAAAATGCTCCAATGGCCCCCCCCGATTCTTACAAAAGTCCAACCCCACCAGCGAGTGCAAGTAACCAAACGGGGCTCTGGCACATTTGTAAGTGCAAAGTCGAACTGCTTTCACATGTGTAGACATGTGGTGCGCTTACAGTAAAAAGCAGTCGCTAACTACCCACCATGATTATCATGGCCTGTACCACGTGTACTAGGGATAAGCAAAAGAAAAAAAAAAAAACAAAGGCACAAGAAAATAAGACCTAATCCAAATAAATTAATAGTGTGTGAGGTTTCAGTAATACCATTGTTACCATTATCTGACAAAAGAATCTTCTTATTTATTATCTTTACTTAATCATATCAGGGTATCAAGCACACATTATTGACTGTATTGGCTCATCCATTGATGTGCTCTACTCATCCCCGACAGACACCATCAAAAGTCTCAAGCTTGAGACTTTTGATGGTGTCTGCTGGGGATGAGTAGAGCTCATCAATGGATGAGCCAATACAGTCAATAATATGTTTTGGGGTTGCAAGTTGAGAATTGAACTTTGTACATAGTGGGAAAACCTTGCAACCATTAGACAAAAGAATAAAATCTAAAAATTACACGCTGTTACCAAAACGTCATACACTATTAATTTATTTGGATTAGGTCTTATTTTCTTGTATCCATAATCTATAATTCAAATTGTGCTTTATCATACAAAGAAGACTATATTTAAATGGAAGCTTTGAAAACCAAATCATCCAAGAAAATAACAGGGCCCCGTGGAGTTGTATCATTAGAATGAACTTAAGATTAAAAATATAAATAATTCTGTAATACAACAATCATTCAACTTCCACAAAAACTCTGAGAAACTTGATACCCTACCAAGACACCTACAACTACAAAGAAATGGAACCAAGACAACAGATCCATCATCTGATTAGAAACAAATACAAATGGAAAAAAATGAAAGTAAAACTTGAAGTCAAAACAGAATATACTCGTTAACCAAATTTGATGAAGTAAAAGTCTTTGATGTTGTCAGTTGTCTATTTTTTTTAAGGAAACAAGAGGCAATTTTGTTTACACTTGGTTATCTCGTGTGTCTTCAATAGCTGTCACTGTATAACGAATCTAAAGTTTTACGAAGGAGCCTCTTTTATTATACTTATGCAAGCTTTCGAACCTTTCGGTTCTTCCACAGGCGTGGCTAGTATGACTACACTAACAGGGTATAAGCGCGCTTGAGCCATTATATACAACATATAAATTTACATGTGGAGTGATATTTCAAATGTAATTAAAATAGAAATAGGAATTATGACTATAAAATAAAACTATGTAAATGAACTTAAAGATTTTTAAAATTTAGCTAAAATTATGGCAAAAACTTTTAAATACGTTAAAAGTTAAGTAAAATAATGATATTCACTGTAAGTAAGCAGTGCGACACTTTAAAATTTCGTAAAGTTAAAAAAAAAACAGTATAATTTAAAACATCTCAACACAGAAAAACCAAGCGGGGGTCCACTCCAACCCGACCACACACCAGAGTATATCACGGGATAACTATTGAGATATTATATGATATATTTCCGGAAGATCTATTTTCCTATTGATGCTGTTTGTTTGTGTTGATATGATGGATTCCAGTACCAATCTGTGCTGCTTATTGTTTATGTGCTGATATAGGATTTTAGTATATAAGTGATTTCGGGGTCTCTATTGTTTATGTTTCGTTTGTGTTCGGTGATTCTGATATACGCGGTTCTGCCAGTCTCCCCCACATAGGAGGCTGGGCAATCCTGGCAAGAATTATAGAGCAGTTTGCTATCTTCCATATTCCTCGTTCTCTGTTACCATTTCCAGAATCCTTCGCCCATATGGTATCCAAGTTTATTTTAACAGCCCTCCCAATCTTGCTGCCCTCCTCAGGAATCCTATCACTAAAGCAGACACACCCAACAATCCCATCCACTCCACCGGAGCAGTATACGCGGCTTCTTGCCAGGATTGCCCAGCCTCCTATGTGGGGGAGACTGGCAGAACCGCGTATATCAGAATCACCGAACACAAACGAAACATAAACAATAGAGACCCGAAATCACTTATATACCAACATATTTCAAACACTGGCCATAACTTTAACTTAGATCATCCTAAAATCCTATATCAGCACATAAACAATAAGCAGCACAGATTGGTACTGGAATCCATCATATCAACACAAACAAACAGCATCAATAGGAAAATAGATCTTCCGGAAATATATCATATAATATCTCAATAGTTATCCCGTGATATACTCTGGTGTGTGGTCGGGTTGGAGTGGACCCCCGCTTGGTTTTTCTGTGTTGAGATGTTTTAAATTATACTGTTTTTTTTTTAACTTTACGAAATTTTAAAGTGTCGCACTGCTTACATACAGTGAATATCATTATTTTACTTGACTTTTAACGTATTTAAAAGTTTTTGCCATAATTTTAGCTAAATTTTAAAAATCTTTAAGTTCATTTACATAGTTTTATTTTATAGTCATAATTCCTATTTCTATTTTAATTACATTTGAAATATCACTCCACATGTAAATTTATATGTTGTATATAATGGCTCAAGCGCGCTTATACCCTGTTAGTGTAGTCATACTAGCCACGCCTGTGGAAGAACCGAAAGGTTCGAAAGCTTGCATAAGTATAATAAAAGAGGCTCCTTCGTAAAACTTTAGATTCGTTATACAATTATACCAATTATACGGAGTTTACCTGTAGAAACAGATGTCACTGTGTATCAAATATCTTTCAGAGTCATTGTCTGAATCCCGATATACATGATAAAAGGTACAACTTCGTTAAGTTTTGTCCATGAGTGTATATGATGAAAAAATAGCTCAGAAGAAAGAAGATCTGTTACCTAGGATCCTCTACCAAATATGTGGAAACACTTTCTTCTTCTTTCTTATCTTCACTCAATCATATTAGGGTAGCAAGCTTGTAGAGCTTGAGACTTGACAACCATCATGACTGGGTGAAGTAGAATGCCTTTGTCATTAAGACTGGGAGCACTACTCAGTGGCAGGCCGACTTAGCTCCAAAAGAAATGGCCACCTCTGGCATGAGGAACTGACGTCATGTGCAACCGCTCTTAACATGGAGTACAAACGCTGCTTTTTTAGCGAGCTTGTTACTGCTCCCCCTCCTCCTTTTTCATCCGGGTTGGTGAATGGCAAAGATGGAGTTGGAAACACTTTAAATAAGCTTAACGTATTCTTTCTTCATTGGAAATATTATGACCTGGATTGTTCTAAGAGGCATCTATAAAGTTACTTTAAACTTGAGTATTTGATATGTGTCCATCATATGTGCAACAAGATAAATTTATAGTTTTTATATTTTTGTAAATTTGCCACTGAGCGCATGTAAATAAATGAGTTCTGCCAGCTTGCGAGTGCAATGATGAACTACTTTAACAGGTATGGAAATGTGACAAACCTTTACTTAAGAAAATTACAACTTGGGTTCACTCTCAGAAGACATGTAAAAAATAGAGGTATTGTACTTTTAAAATTAAGTGCTTTTATTTATTGTTCTTACATGTACAGCAATTCTCAACCTGCAACCCCAAAACATTTTATTGACTGTATTGACTCATCCATTGATGAGCTCTACTCATTCTCAGCAGACACCATCAACAAGCTTTACAAGCTTGATACCCTGATATGATTGAGTGGAATTAAGAAAGGAAAGGACATGTACAGCAATCTTCCATGAGAGACTGCCTTAAAAAAAAAAAAAAAAAAAAGGCTAAACCCAGTTGTTCTTGGTGGTCCCTTCTAATCAGAAACATGTCAAGCCAAGTCATGAAGACTCTTTTAACTGAAGATGAGTCTCAGATGATGCATTATATTCAGGGTTTAGCCATATTTTTAGGCAGTCTTTATTTACTGTATACTCTGTATTTATAATTCTGCTGCTATTCATATATACCAAATGGTTATATTTAGTATATAGATTCAATTTAAAGATTTTATATTATTATATATATACATCTTTATCAAGTGGCCTGTACCTAACTCCCAATATATATGATTTCACTCATGAACCACTGAAAACTACATTTTTGATGTAAAATATTTGCGCATATAGTATCATGAGATACATTAAAGGCATATTAATTTATTCGAGCAAAATGTAGATAAAATTTTATTATTCCGATAAAAAATTTACAAATAATTTAATATACTCTACCTTTAGCCAAAAATCTCTCTTCGTGTAAAACCGCAACTGCATTTACACATAAAAGTATTGCCTGATACAAATTATACAGGGTGAACGCCATTATTTATTTAAAAAAAATAAAATACAAAAGTTATGTGGAAAGAAATTTCGATGATGATGTAAACAAAAACATTTAGTGGTCAAAATAGTTTGAAACCGTCCTTTGAACATTTTTATTTAAAAAATTAACTCTGATGGATTTTATTGTCTGTCTCTCTAAAAACAAAATAAAATATTTTATTAAAGCATTATTTTCACTATAAAAAATGTAGGGGTGTCGAGAATTTTTGTCATTCAAGCTTTCTGAAAATAAATAAAAATATCATTTATTTAGTAGATCATATGTCATGCTACTGAAAATATCTTAATTTAACTAGACTCAGAAGTTTAATTTGAAGCTAATCACTTGTAGATATCATTTGTTCAACGAAATTTAACACGTTTCAATAATTCAATAAATTTCACAGTTTTGTTTATTTTTTATTTTGTTGCTCATTAAAGAAAAGCCTTACTTATAATTCTCATATATTTCTATTCAAATTCATTTTGGAATAATTTGAAATGAGAAATATCCCAATTTACCGGAATGTAAATCTCCATTTGTTCATGGGATTAAATTATGATTCAATGAGTGATGATATATAAATAAACAATAAAATTCTTATATACTTTGTTCACTCCTCTATTTACAAACATAGTTTACAGCACTGTAAAGTGTATTAT